CAGGGAGCCTGATGCGGGACTCGATCCCGGGACTCCAGGATCATGACCTGAGCCGAAGGCAGTCGCTTAACCAACTGAGCCACCCAGGTGCCCCGCCCACAGCATTTCTTAAATGCTGACATTTCTACTATTACTCTTCTGGACCAGCATATTATGCCTATAATAAATACAAAGAATTGGGGCACTGGGTAGCTCAGTCAATTAAGCCTCCAACCCTTGATTTCAGCTCAGGTTATGATCTCAGGGTTGTGAGATCGAGCCCCACACTGGGGCCACATTCAGCAGGGGTCTGCTTGAGATTCTATCCCTTTTTTCTCTCAAAAATAATAGTAATAATAAAAAAATAAATCCTTAGAAAAACAAAATAAATAAATACAAAGAATAGGTCAGGGTATTTAGAATTGAAGTATCTGACAGATAACTCTAAAATGATTTGTGAACTTCTAGTACATTGCTTAAAGCGTAAACCAAGGCAACTCGATAATCCTTAAGATGTGACATTTCATTTGGGAAGATACGCATTTACCACTTCTAAGAATGTGCACTAAGACAAAATAATAAATAACACAATTCGGTGCAGCTCTTGTTCTTGATCCTGAAAAATAATATATATTCTTAAAAACAAAGTTCCAGATATAATGTTCCTAGCCTAAACAACAGAAATAAATTCAAGTATTATCAATAAGTACATTTAGCTTGATAAGCTATACTGGCATTATCTTAATGTAGATGCCTTATAAGTAAATTTCAATGAGGAGATGGATGGAGATATATATATATATATATATATACACACACACATATATATATATAATTGAAAATAATGGAAGAAAAAAAGCAGGGAGGAGAAAACGGAGTAAAAAAATTGAGGAACAATTTTTTCAGTTCATATGGTTTTGCGTAAAGAATGAGGTATTTTATCTCAGAAATGTTCTTGGGAAATGAAAGGATGCCCAGTTTATCATAAAAAAGTTATTAGCAATAAGACCATGTACTAAGCGGGGGCGCCTGGGTGGCTCGGTTGGTTAAGCATCTGCCTTTGGCTCCGGTCATGATCTCAAGGTCCCGGAATCAAGCCCCACATCGGGCTCCTTGCTCAGTGGGGAGCCTGCTTCTCCTCTCCCTCTGTCCCTCCCCTCTGCTCATGCTCTCTCTCTCAAATAAATAAAATCTTTAAGAAAAAAAAAGACCATGTAATAAGCAATATATTAAAGATGGTAGTTGGAAGAGAAGGGCCATCATTTTAGGAAAAACCAGATGTAATCAAATGCTTGATTTACTGAGTAATGTTTATATTTTACAGTTAGATAATCTATAAACAAAACAAAATAACGTTTGTGGACATTCCAAAAAGCACTAATGCTATAGAGGCACCAGAACTCTAGCCCCTGGTCCCCTCTTTCCTTGAACCCAATCATTTCTAGAATGTATTCTCTCTCCGCCCTCTTGCTGAACTCTTTCATCTTTATCTGTTAGCTAAATATCCTGCTACCATCCAAACAAAAGCATTAAGAGCTGATAATTAACAAGCATAACACTCCAAGACATGTCTTAAGAGTTTTCCATATACTCACTCACTCCCCATGACAATCCTATGACTAAGTGCATCATTAATCTCCATTTTGTAGATGGGGAGATTGACTTACAGAGAAAAATTTGCCTGAGATTAAGGGATGAGCTCACAGGATAGAGCTGGGATTTCAACTCAGGGAACCTGGTACGAGGCTCCATGCTCTTAACCAGGACACTATGTCACCTCCCTAGTATGGAGCCCTTTCCTTCTCAACTCTTATCCATCACTGGACACAATACCACTCTATCAGCTATCCTCTGAGTTTAAAATTCAGACGTAAATCTTTGATGAAGCTCTACCTTTGGAACCATCCCACACTACTACATCCCAACATTACCAAAACACATATAAATCGTCCACATTACAACTTGGTAGCCAATGAATAGCCTCCTTCAGGATTTTTCAAGCTTGGGACTTGTTTAGTGCATCATGTTAGTTTTATAACCTTTAAGTCTCTTTAACCATTTTGGTTGTTTGCTTTTTTTTACAGATTCATTTCACTGTCCTGCAAAAACTGGGAACAAATTAAGTACCTAACAAATTGTGGATTGCTTAAATAGTGGTAGGTTATATAATGATACATATAGTATGCTTCCACTGAATAATTCTCTTTATAGATCAATCCCTGCTACCTTTTTTCTAAAAGAAGGTAGTAGTCATTGAAAAAATACTTTAACAATAAAAACCATCTACAGAAATGGCCTTTCTTTGCATTATCATACCCATAATTTTTAGCTTTAATTCATTACATTTTCTGTGATCTTTATACATTACAGATGGTCACAATTTTCTCAGAAATAGCTCATAATATTCCTCACTTTTCTGTAAGAATGAATGCCAAAAGAATGAATAATCACCGTATTTTTTCAGACATGGGCTTTTGGCACATATCATATGTGCACAGTGCTTCCAGAATGAGGCCAAAGGAACCAGCACTACACAGAGAATGTGCATGAGTTTTAACAGCATGGTAAGTCTTTGACAGAGTTAAGCATGGGCCTGAGATATACCTCATCCTGGGGGAAATGGGAAGGGAGGCCAGGTATCAACCCAAGGAGACCATACCAGGTAGGAACTTGTGGTGAAAAGCAGTGGAAAAAGAGTATTTTGATCCATACACTGATCAATCAGGAAGTGCAGAAGAGAAAATGGCAATCCTTGATTTGATTTTACCTTGGAGAAACTTCTTTCTCCAAGACCAGTGGTAATTTATAGTAAACCAACAGATATGCACAGGGAACACAATTCTTTTTATCTCTTTTGTATTTACATCATGAGGTTGGTGGAGGGTTAGTAAGACAAGTTTTCAAGTACTAGAAGATTTCATACTTTCCTACAAGACTGATATATATTAAGAAGTGCATAAATGGGTCTTACCAAACCATTCTTAAAGTTCTCAATTCTTCTCTTCCCTAACTTGTTGGTTAGCCACAAGGCCCAGGTTGGCATATATTGCCAAAAATATGTTATCAACAAAAAAGGGTGATCCGAGATCCAAACTTCTTTCAAATCATTGGCCATGCTGATTAACATCAGCCGCACACAACGACTGGTCGCCATCTTGTGGGACTGGGCTGTTTCAACGCCAATAGTCTAAGAAAATGTTAAAAAAAGAATTAAGTGAATGCTGTGTATTTATCCAAGTAATTTAACAGAACTTTTAAGCTGGAAAGGACGTAGAGGTCATCTAGTGGAGTGACCTTTCAGTGGGACCTCATGACCCTTTGTATCCCCATAGCTACTAATGGGTGTCTATAAGCTATTTGTAGTATTTCCAAAAGCCTAAGAGAAATCATACACTTACCAGATAAGATTGTGCAGGCTCAACAAAAGAGAAGGTTCTTTGCTTTTTCCTTAGATCACCTTTAATGTCTTTACTGATAATTATATGTCATTTTAGCAATAAAAGTTTTTAAACAAATTACTAATCCATTTAGCAAGAGAAGTTCTAGAAGATGTAGACTCCATGGGGATAAAATGGAAGAAGAAGATAAAAGCAGTTTCTGGTAGTGAACAAATCTGGTACTGCTCACCTAGTTAACCCCCTACCATTCTACAAATAAATAAACAGGCCCAGAAAGGTAGTGACTCGGCTGTGCTCACACAGATCATTAGCAGCAAACAGTTCTGCAGTCCAAGTCACCTGATTCCTAGAATAGCACGCTCATTCTGTTTCACCCTAGCGCCTCCACAGAAAATGTGAAAATATAAATGGTATCTGTAAACTTTTACACACAAGCAGAAATAGATTTATGTCTCAGTAGAAATCGATCCTCACGGAGAAGAAGGAAAATTTCACGGTCTTTAGGGGGATTTTGGATGATTGAGTGAGACTGGATTCTTCACAAGACATTGTCATCCACTGAGTAACTCACTATGTATAACCCATGAGCTGAGGGAGCACAGGCCTGTGCTCAGCACAGGTGAAGCTAACCTAAAATTATCTTAGTTCGGCAAGGCTTTTCCTAAGCTCCTTCACCATAGCCCCTCTTGAAAATCCCAGGAAGATTTAAAGTACTAAAATTCAGCCACACAGAACCTTTCAATGTTGCTATAATTTGTGAATTGACAGAAGCTGGGCTTTAAGAATACTGACAGCCCACATAATAGTGGATTCCTTATAACCAGAATCTTCTCAACTTCTTTAGCCTTTATTAAAACTGAATGCCAAAGCACCGTCAGCTAACCTTAACAGTGTTCCCAGTGCCATGAGGTAAGTTTTGTAAATAATTCATAACATGGTAACATGTTAGTCTAACATGTTAGAAAAAATTCTAAACCCTGAGACATAGTGATACAATACCAATATATAACTACTAAGGCATTCAAATTATTCTCAAACTAGACATTTTTACCTTTTGGACGTCTTCAGTTAGGGAATTCTTCACAATATTTGATTGCACAGGTCCTGGACAAATGTTAGAAATTACTATACCTGGGTATGTAGCAAGTTCAGCTCGGAGGCAATTAAAAAAACCCTAATGGAAAAAAAAAAAAAAGGCAACAAATAAAATTAAATACACACATCTCATATTTGCTCTTAGCATGAAATTACTTTTCTTCAACTTTTTATGGGGGACAATAGTGGCACATAATCAAAATATGTTTTGAAATGCCAAGTAAAGGATGGGAAATATAACTGGGCAAGCTTATTAAATATTTTTAGCTGTAAGACTGGGGGCAATCTAGAACAGGCATCCTCAGGCATCCTCATCTTCTGGTAGGAAGAGTTCACCCCTTTTGGCAGTGGTGGCTCATGCCATCAAGTGATTTTTTATGGTAGGTGCTAGACAAGTGGAAAACTCTCCCTGGAGATTATTCCGAGACACCCTTCTCACACCAGTCCCCAGCTCCCCACTCCAAAAGAGGTGCGTGTTCTCCACTGAGAATCACTGAGGTTGGGCCTCTCTTATCCCTCCGAGTGGTCTAAAGTGCCAGTGCTGACACCAGAGGGAGCGAGAGGGGTTAGTAATACTTAACGGAAATTATCAGAGAGTAAGAATTCAATGTTTTCTATTTATATTACTATTTTAACAGACAATTCATTTCAGCAAACATTTATTTTTAGGGTTAGCAAGAGACTGCATGGCTGGTTAAAAAAAAATAATACGACTGCTTACTTGATGGCTTTTGTAAAAACAAGCTAAACCTTCTAGACTTAAAGATATTGGCCATTTCTAAACCAAATAGGGAATAAACATCTACTTCCCCCCTCATCTCTTTTCTAAATTAGGAAATGTTCCAAGACTACATTGGTATAAGCTGAGTTAACCACTGAAGAGTCTAAATAGCTAACCCAGAGTGTGTTCATTCATGGTCCAACACTAAACAGTTCCCAGCTCCTAATACTGACCACTAATAAACAGGGGCGGTGAGGGTTCACGCTATCAGAGATTAATAAAGTGGCTGACTCAGATGGACAGGAAAAAAGGCTTTGTAAATTCAAGAACTCTCATACCCTTAACCTTTTGCCTCTCTATAACAAAAGAGGATGAGGACACCATGAAAGCCAATCCATCAGATGCTAATACATCTCCTTGTCTGAAATCACATCTGGTATAGAGTGTGAACTTTTCAATGATAAACAAATTCACTCTAGAGCTTGTTGGGAATCAGGGAAGAAGTGTTCTTCGAAAAGTGCTTCCTGGTCCCAGGGTTCAGCTACTGGTTTAACTAACTGGAGTCTCAACCTGCCATGTTGTATCAGAGGATCAAATCCAGTAAGAAAACAGTGAGTCCTGGCAGGCAGGCCAGATAACTCAGGTTGTGTTTTGCTGAAAGCACTCTGCATGTCATGAGAAACCTGGCTGCCTTCCCTCACCTGCCTGCCTGAGACTTGCCCAACTGCTCTGCAGGAAGTGACTACTACCCCAGCACCACATATGGGGACATCATCAGTGTCCCATCCGGTTCACCACTCTGCAACTGTCTGCTCTCCCCAGCAGAAAGAGGATACCCTCAAGAACCAGCTTCAGATCTGCATGAAACTGTGAGCACCATTCAGCTGTGCCATCTCATTATCCCAACGGTACAATATTCTACTCACACTGACCTTCAGCAGCATTAATTATAAATTATGTGTCTCCTATTGGCCTTATGATCTAATCTGTTCCACATTACAGTTTAATAATATTTCTTCATATCTACTTTTAAGCCAACATTAAAACTTCATTTCTTTTCAATATTTACCTCTAGTAACTTATGCAACCCAAATCAAGCATTTCTCCTAGCCTCTGCTATGACTAGCTTTTCTTCTTTCAGTGAAGCCACGGTCAACAGAGTCAAGCCTAGTCCCAGTAAGGATATGAAGCCCAGGGCTACTCATCCAGTGGGGAGCTCCTATTTCTGACATGCATATATATTTAGACCAGGTAAAACAAATACCAACCACAACGGGGAAGGAAAAAGAAGCCACAGAATGAGAACGACAAGTACAACCTCAAGTGTGTGTGGAAGAAGTGAGGGGTAGATCCCAAATTTGCCATGAAGATATGGTAGAGATGAGGATAAGGGTGACAGGTTGACTAGACTGAACACTTCTTGAGGGTAGGGACCGTTTCTTATCTTTATACCCCCAAGATCTGTTGCAGGGCATGGCATGGCACAGTGTAGATACTCAATACAGGTTTGCTGAATTAGGAAGAGGCCTGTAAGATTCAAGTCTTTTTTAGCATCTTCTGGGGATGTCCTCTACCAAAGGTCTCTTTGGGTCTCTTCTGCTATCTCCCTACATCACTGCCCAGTTCCCATGACCTCTGGCAGTGATGGTCATATCCCCCATATACATATTTAGATCAGTACCATCAGAGTTGAGTTTGAGCAGCCTTACCCGCAGAGCATGTTTGCTGGCACAATATCCACTAGAAAGGGGCGCAGATAAGATACCCAGGAGGCTATTCACAATAACAATCTTTCCTTGCTTCCTCTCGATCATGTGAGGCAGAACACACATTGTCAAGGACACCGTCCCTAAGTAGTTAAGTTCTATTAGCTCCTTGAAGACATCCAGGCTGGTGTCCATGCACAGAGAACGCTGGGATCTTCCAGCATTGTTGACCAGAATGTCGATCTAGTTAAAAAAATCAGAAAAGGGGCACTCTGGGGATGACTTGTAAATGGACTGATGCAATTCTTAGGGATGGTTGGTTTTATCATTAACTTGAAAAAAATCAATGGAGTGGTGAATTTTCAGAAGTCAGCAATGAAGAGAGAAAATGAAAACCAGAATTCACCTGTGGAATTAATTTCCCATCTTAAGTGACTTTTTTAAGTGTCACAAAAATAAAAGACACAGTGAATTTTTACCTTCTTTTGTTCCACATCGAGTAATTAGTACTTGTCAAGGTATGGAAAGTGCGAACTACATAACGCCAAGAATTCGAGTATAAGAGACTCGTGGGCACTGATCCCACTACACGGACCCATTTACCTAAAGCCCTTTCAGTGATCGCACAAAGATGGGAATCTCTTTTGTGGCTGTGTCAAAGCAAGACTTATTGATTCAAAATGGCTCCTTACTTTACCAAACTCCTGGAGAACCGCTTTGGTAGCTGCTTCGTGGGAACTTCTATCAGTCAGGTCAAGCGGCAAAACCAGTATATCTTTTTCTTTTAAATTGCCATTCTCTAGATAAAGACATTTAAAAATTAGTGCAGAAGTCATAAGATAGTTTGATCAGGCTTCTCGCTACTTGCATTAAGTTTAACACCCACCCTACAACGGGACTTGGCAACAAACTCATTTCTGGGGGGCCTTGTGGAAGAATTTCTCTCAGTGACCGAGAGCACTGGTGGTAATGAGGCAACATCTTATCAGACAAAATGCTGGCTGGGTCCACAGGAAGAAGGATGGCTCTCTTCAACGTGAATATATACAATCTAACACTGGAGGGGCGCCTGGGTGGCTCAGTCGGTTGAGCGACTGCCTTCGGCTCAGGTCATGATCCCGGAGTCCCGGGATCGAGTCCCGCGTCGGGCTCCCTGCTCGGCAGGGAGTCTGCTTCTCCCTCTGGCCCTCCTCCCTCTCATGCTCTCTGTCTCTATCTCATTCTCTCTCTCAAATAAATAAAATCTTAAAAAAAAAAAAAGCAGCGCCTGGGTGGCTCAGTCGGTTGAGCGACTGCCTTCGGCTCAGGTCATGATCCCGGAGTCCCGGGATCGAGTCCCGCATCGGGCTCCCTGCTCAGCAGGGAGTCTGCTTCTCCCTCTGACCCTCCCCCCTCTCATGCTCTCTGTCTCTCATTCTCTCTGTCTCAAATAAATAAATAAAATCTTAAAAAAAAAAAAAATTTTAACACTGGAACAGACTCTAAAAGGAATCAAGATTATACTACAAGCTAAAAAAAAAAAGCAGAAATTTTAGAGCTATTTCTTTAGAAGAACAGAGGAACATTTGTCTTATGATAGGTGCACAAAATATAGTTGCTCTTTTACACACATTAAAAAATAAAAACAATTTATGCCTTATACTAGTAAAACATTCAGAGTTCCCCAGTCACATGACACATAGAAGCTTCCTTCCAGAGAAAAGGATTCCAGGAAGCAAACAAGCAAAAGGACACAATCCTGAAATTCCCAATCAAGAAACACGTGGAGCTAGACTGGCCCTTTCTATTAGTGTTCATCAAAAGAATAAGGCTCTAACCTTGAAATACAACAAGTAATGCCAATACGAAAAACAAGCAAGGAGAGAAAATAAAAGAGGTAGAAAGGTTTTACAGGCAAAGTCTAAACTGTGAAACATGAACTGTCTTAAAGAGATGGAAATGCTTGCACCAATGATCGGACAGAAGAAAGGAAAACAATCAGCCTCATTCCAGCCAAGAAATGCTGACATGGTTCGTTTCTGCCAGTACAGGACTTGCAAGTCTCCACAGCTGGAGGAACAACTACCAGAGGGAGTGTCCCTGTGCAAAACACGAGAGGCCTCTGTAAGCGATGTCCTGAAAGAGGCCTTCTGGCCTTGGCTGTGGACTCCTCTTTTTTGGGTGGTTAATGTTTAAAGAATGACAGGTAGAGAGATGACCAAAAAAATGGTCTGCTTGAAAATGCAAAATTATCTCATTTTAGGTACTAAATGTCCCATGAGAAATAATCACTTTATTACTTAGGACTGCTTTCATGTGAACATAACTACACCAAAACCCAGGCCAAAAAAATTAAAAATTACCATTGTTGCTCTAATATGAGTATTACCTCAAGCTGCATTTTACAACCTAATTCAATTTCCATTCTTTCATTTTTATAACAAAAATTTTATAGCATCCCATATGACTTTAATATCTGACATGTTAGCAAAATGAAGGATCATAATTCAACTTCTATGGTTACATACATGTATGCCATAACAACCAAACTGTTCTTTCTCTAAGACAAAAATATAAGATATGTGGTCACTGAAAACCCACCAGCATTTGCAAGAATTGGTGGTCACTCCCTAATACCAAGAGTCAGTGCAAAAGAAAAGTAGAAAGGCACACATGGATCAATGGAGCAGAATAGAACATCCAGAAATAAACCCACAATTATATGGTCAATTACTCTTTTACAAAGCAGGAAAGAATGCCCAATGGGAAAAAGACAACAATCTTCAACAAATGGTGTGGGGAAAACTGGACAGGGATATGAAAAGAATGAAACCTGGACTACTTTCTTAGACCATACACAAAAATAAATTCAAAATGGATTAAAGACTTAAATGTGAGACAGGAAACCATCAAAATCCTAGAAGGGAGGGGTGCCTGGGTGGCTTAGTTGGCTAAGCATCCAACTCTTGATCTCAGCTCAGGTCTTGATCTCAGGGTTGCTTGAGTTCAAGCCCCGTGCTGGGCTCCAGGCTGAGCGTGCAGCCTACTTAAAAAGGAAAAAAAAAAATCCTAGAAAGGAACACAGGCAGTAACTTCTTTGACATTAGCTGTAGTAACTTCTTCCTGGCTCTGTCTCCTGATGCAAGGGAAACAAAAGCTATTGGGCCTACATCAAAATAAAAAGCTTCTGCACAGTCAAGGAAACAATCAACAAAACTAAAAGGCAACGTACTGGATGGGAGAAGATATTTGCAAATGACATTTCTAGTAAAAGCCTAGTATCCAAAATATATAAACAACTTACAAAAACTCAACCCCCCCAAAAACAACCCAATTTAAAAATGGGCAGAATTTGCTATGACGTGGGTGGAGCTAGAGTATTACGCTAAGTGAAGTCAGTCAGTCAGAGAGGGACAAATACCACATGATTTCACTCATATGTGGAATTTTTTTTTTTAAATGTTTTATTTATTCATGAGAGTCAGAGAGAGAGATAGAGAGAGGCAGCGGCAGAGGGAGAAGCAGGCTCCCCGCTGAGCAGGGAGCCCGATGCGGGACTCGATCCCAGGAGCCTGGGATCGTGACCTGAGCCGAAGGCAGAGGCTTAACCATCTGAGCCACCCAGGCGCCCCTCATATGTGGAATTTAAGAAACAAAACAATTTTAGTATATGTGCTGCTGAAGCGAGCACTAAGAAACAGGTATAGGGAAAAAAGAGAGAGAGGCAAACCAAGAAGCAGAATTTTAACTACAGAGAACAAACTGACGGCTACCAGAGGTGAGGTGAGGGGGGCGGGGGGAGTTGAATAGGTGATGGGGATTAAGGAGGGCACGTTTTGTGATGAGCTCCAGGTGTTATATATAAGTGTTGAATCAGTAAATTGTACACCTGAAACTAATAATACATTGCATGTTAACTGGAGTTTAAATAAAAACCTAAAAAAAAGGGGCAGAAAAAGATGAACAGACATTTCTCCAAAGAAAACATTCAGATAGCCAACAGACACATGAAAAGATGCTCATCATCACTTATCATGAGGGAAATGCAAATCAAAACCACAATGAGATATCACCTCACACCTGTCAGAATGGCTAAAATCAACAACACAAGAAACAACACATATTGGTGAGGATGTGGAGAAAAAAGGATACTCGTGCACTGCTGGTAATGCAAACTGGTGCAGCCATTGTGGAAAACAGTGTGAAGGTTCCTCAAAAGTTAAAAATAGAACTACCTTCAATCCAGTAATTACACTACTGGGTATTTAACCAAAGAATACAAAAACACTAATTCAAAGGGATACATGCACCCCTATGTTTATAGCAGCATTATTTACAATAGCTAATATATGGAAGCAACCTGTGTCCAGTGATTAATGAATGGATCAAGAAGATGTGAGATATATATATATATGTGTGTGTGTATATATATATATATCTAGCTCAGCCATTAATGGAATACTACTCAGCCATTAAAAAGAATGAAATCTTGTCATTTGCAATGACATGGATAGAGCTAGAGAGTATAATGCTAAGCGAGATAAGTCAGTCGGAGAAAGACAAATACCACATTCCACTCATATGTGGAATTTAAGAAACAAACAAGCAAAGGGAAAAAATAGAGAGAGAAAGACAAATCAGGAAACAGACTCTTAACTCTAGACAACAAACTAATGGTTACCAGAGAGGAGGTGGCTGGGGGAGGGGCTGAAATAGGGGATGGGATTAAGGAGTACACTCATCCTGATGAGCACCGGGGAATGTATGGAAGCATTGAACCACTATATTGTACACCTGAAACTAATATGACGCTGTATGTTAACTAGCTGGAAATAAAACTAAAACTTAAAAAAAAAAAAGTGAATTAGAAAGGCATCAGAAAAAGAGAAGAATAAGCCAAGGGCAGCTAATGAAGAGATGCCCAAAGGAAGAGGATTTGGATCTGAGCGCTTGGAACATTTGGAACCAGAGTGGACTGCCTGGGAAAATCCCATGCTTCCCTCTAAAATTCTCAAAATTGTATTTGAATTTGGATTCTGGTTTATTTCTAGGAAGCACTGTGGCCATTTTAGATTTACTCACCAAGGCACCTTGTTTTCACCCTTTCCAGCTCCTGCACTCTTCTGGCTGACAGCACAAGGGAGACTCCCAGTTTAGACAGCTGGCAAGCCAGCTCCTCGCCGATCCCACTCGATGCTCCAGTCACCCAGACCACCATATCAGTCAGCTCCCATTCTAGTGGGAAACAAGTGTGGAGTGAGCAGGAAATGAGCTATGGATTACACCCCATAATTAAAGATTACCAAAAAGATAGTCTTAAACCATACCACTAAATATGAAGACATCATGTGTAGAGTTTAAAATTTGCAATATCTTATATTTATGGCCTTGATTCTGGTGATGCTCACACATATACTTAACTCAAACTCACTGAGTTGTATACATTAAATATGTACAGTTTTTTTAACATGCTAATCATAGCTCAATAAAGTGATTTAAAATTTTTTTAATTAAATATCCTCAGAAACACCTCCTACCTAATTTTTTTTTTTAAAGTGTGAATAAAAGGATGCCTGGGTGGCTCAGTCGGTTAAGCATCTGACTTCGGCTCAGGTCATGATCCCAGGGTCCTGGGATGGACCCCTGCATCGGGCTGCCTGCTCAGCTCTCTCCCTCTGCCCCTCTCCCCAGCCCCTGCTCTCGCTCTCTCTCTCAAATAGATAAATAAAATCTTAAAAACAAAACAAAACAAAAAAAAACTGTAAAAATGTTACAACACTAAAGCAATGAGGAGTGATTGGTTCTCCTTTTCTCCACTGAAAAACTCACTTGCACTGCAAGACATGATAGCCACCGTCTATCTGAATTCCTAGAGAGTCACTGTGGTACAACACTCCTGTGTGCTTTCTTTATTAAAATATGTTATTCATCAAAAACAGTAGGGGCCCCTGGGTGGCTCAGTTAAACATCTGACTTCGGCTCAGGTCATAATCTCAGGGTCCTGGCATCAAGCCCCACATCAGGCTCCTCTCGCCCCCTGCTCATGAGGAGTCGGCTTGTCGCTCCGGCCCTACCCCTGCTCATGCTTACTCTCTCTCTCTCAAATAAGTAAATAAAATCTTAAAAAAAAAAAAAAAAAACAGTAAAAAAGGAATCACAACACACATTTCTGATTTGAGATCATAAAAATTAAAATTGGGAAATCAGTTTACTGTTTTAGTCAAACCATTCTAAAACCTAATTGTCGGGGGTAACAGTATGAGCTCTGGAGACTGCCAGGGTTCAAATCCTGGCTCCATCACACACAGCAAGGAAATGCCCTGTGAAAACTTGGTGCCTTAACGTTCCACAGCTGGAAAATTGGGTTAATAATAAAACCTCCCTCATAGCACTGTTGAGAAAAATGAGTTAAAATAAGTATCCAGAGCAGTGTCTGACACATACTCAGTGCTCAAGAAAATGTCAACTACTTATTGCTAAAAGTGTTTAACAAATAGACTTTTCAGCAGCAACACATAGAATATTCACCCACTAACTTGTGTGTTCTAATTTCTCCAGCCAGGGGCAATGGGGTTCCTAACTATAATGGCTTAATATTTTTTATTACTTCCTACGTGCTTAAACACATTATCTCATTAGAACCCTCCCAAGAAACTTAGGAAATAAGAATTATCTTAATTTTATAAAAAAAGGAAACTGAGGATTACAGGCATTAATTTACCGAACTAGACTATAAATTCCCTCAAGGCTGGGACCCTATCTGCCTTGTTCACTGTCCAGTGCCTAGCACAGAGACCAGAATATAGAAAGAACTCCATCAGTAACTGTTGAGTAAGCACCCCACAACCCTAGCAGAGCTGGGATATAAGCTCCAAAGCCACACTCTGACCACTAGCCTATGGTGCCCACATTTTAATATGATCAATCTTTTAAAACCCAACTATTTCTTAGCCATTCAAGAAAATACAACTTGTCTTCAGGAAAGAGGTTTCATGTAATTATCTGAATTAAGCTGGGAAACATCCCAAATACTGCTTCTAGGCTACAATGCCTTCCTATCATATGATGTACTTCTATGGAAATGCACAACAGAGGACTCCCATCAGGAAGAGCGAATGTATATTCAGATAATCACGTATTCACTCATCGACAGCTCATTGTTCCAAAGTTCTGCAATACTCAGACTACAGAGTGAATATAATTGTTTGTAACTATTTACTAACTAGTATACAGCTCACAAAAATTTCTTCACGTTTACACCACTAAGCAAATATGACTTAAAACCAACAATGAAGGGGCGCCTGGGTGGCTCAGTCGTTAAGCGTCTGCCTTCGGCTCAGGTCATGATCCCAGATCCTCTCATCTCTTGCTTCTCTAAGGCTAAATAAACACCTCCAATGTCTGTGACCTTCCCTCATATGACATGGCTTAAGGTTTCCTCACTCTTTGTCTCACACCCCTCTGCACAAACTCTAGCTGGCCAATGCTTCTGCTGAAGAGAACTGGCCAGAGAAGGATCCAGGACTTCCGTGGGGTCTGGACAATGGCTGCCTCGGCCACTGGGGTGTCCCAGGGTCCAGCACAGAGGCGACACATACGAGCAGCCATTCAGAAGACATCGGTTGTGGACTGCCATGTTTGCTTCACACACTACATGCCTCCCAGGCTTGCCAAATCTTTTCTGGCAGTCATTTCAGAGTCCACTCACACTGAGGTTACTGCCAACTAAAACCCGAGTTTTCCTCTGGTGTGCTGCTGCTGGAGTCTTCCTCCTCTGGACTTGTGCCATGGACTTTTCTGGATCTATGTGCAGTATCTGAAGTTAGTCGCCCTTCAATTTCACCATGTGATATATATCCTTAGAAACACATAGAATTTCTCTAGAAGGATACATAAAAGGTGGGAAATGTTGGTTGCCTCCAGAGAGGCGTACTTGGTGGCTGGGGGCAGCTTTTCACCACATATCCTTTTGTGTCATTGAGTTTTGTAGCATGTGAGTATATTGTCTATTTTCTAAGGTGACAAAAATAATAAACCTATGGAGAAGACAAGGAGGATTTACTTATTTATAAAATATATATATTTTTTACCTTAATAGAGTCTGCTCGTCTTTCCAGTCTAAACTGTTCTGGGAACCTGAGTGTATCTCCATGTGGCTTTAACTTTGTTTTATTATCACCCTCCCAACCCCCAGTGGTCTTTCTAGTGATTTTTTCCCTAAAAATTCCCCCAAGAAATTTTAACACCAGATATACTGTATATCCATTTATGTGCTGCATATATATATATGTATATCTGTGCTTTATACATAAAAAAAGAGTTCTAGAAAGCTTACTCTACAGTCAATGCAGGTTTAAGAATGACTAAATTTAAAAATTAAAACTTAAATTAAAATTTAAAAGCCATTGCCATTTAACTTTATAACTGTTTTGGGGGAATAACTTTTAATGTAATTTATTTACTTAGATAAATGATAAGGTATCAAATTAGTATGCAAATTAGCCTATTCTAGAAGTTCATAATAATAATAGCAATGTAATTAAATGTATCTTAAAATCCTTCAAAACTATTTTTCCAGCAAAACATGAAAAGATTAAATGAATTTCTTAAGAACTATTTTTATTTTTTGCTTGACATGTGATAATAACTTTAACTAGCTGTGAGACACTGTCAACATTTTTCCTCTTCAGCACTTGACATAACTAATGGACCGAATAACTTTTGCAGAATTAAATTTAAAAAAAAAAAACGATTTTTAGGTAATCTCAAATCCAAGTTAACACAAAAGCACTCAGGATCAAATGGAAATATCCACAAAGTAGCCACAAGGCAGCCATCAGACAAAAGAAGGACTGATCCAGAGAAGGTCTGACAATCACAGCCATCTATTTGCCATAGTTTTGTAGTGTTGACCTTGCAGAGGTGTATTTTCCACCAACTCAATAATGTCAGCACTCCAAATGTTATCCCCCAGAAAAATGCAACGAGACAAATCAAATATTAAGGAATAAGATTTTGTGCAGTAGGGTTGAGCTTTGGAGGGATACAAAACACTGTACCATCTAAGATTTTTCTTTGGTCCTCAAGACCAGTTTTGATACCCTTGGGAGCCATACGGCTGCCCTGCCTCCCAGGCCCGTTTGGAAAGCCGAGTCTATCTTCTCCACTGCTATCACTTCCAAGTAAACTTCCTCACATGCTTTGGGTATTTTCACACAGGAAACTAGGTCCAGGGAAACCCCACTTCCCCTAGCGCTTATGGATCCAAAGCCTAGCTCTGGGTAGGTCATTTAATGTCTGCACACTGGTTCCCTATCGGGCAAATAAGATTAACAACGCCTACTTTGTAAGTCTCTGTAAAGGCTAGAGGTCGTGTCACATCGCTTGAGCACAAAGAATGTGTTTAGGAAACGACCACCAAATTTTAACCAGGGTACCGATGAAAGTGGGAGAGGCAGAATGCCCCTCAGTATGCCAGTAATGATCTCGCCCCAGGCAAAATCCAGTTCTTTCTAGGGTGATACTTTTATCCCAGGACGTGAGTAGGGGGGGGAGGAGGTAAGTCTGGACACTCCTTTTATTTCACCACTCGGGAAGAGGGAACAACTTCTGGAAGTAAATAAACCGGGCTCCAGTTCTGAAAAGGAGGCTTCCTTACAGACTCAGGGGACGGGCACTGTTTGTCCAAGTGGTGTCCTCCGTGGACGCAACAGCTGAACCCCTGGGAGGCAGGGTAAGAGTCCCGAGGGCGCCCGGCCCGTTCCAGCGCCCTCCTAGTTTGGCGAGCGGGCAAGTCCTCCGCTGACCCCACCAGAGACCAAGGAGCAGGACAGCCTCCTTGGCCCCGGCTTTTTCCTCCCCGACAGGGAGCCCCAGCGAAAGGCGCGGAAGCCCCACGCCACCCGGAGGGATGCGGCGACAGCGGGGACGGCCGCACGGAGCCCGGCCTCCCCCTCAAGAGGCGCGGCTGCCGGTCCTCACCTGGACGTCGCCCCTGCCACTCGGCCCACAGCAGGGTCAGGTCGCCATCCGCCCGCAGGAAGCGCAGCAGCTGCACCACGAGCGCGAGGAGCACGCACAGCACCAGCAGCCACAGCAGCAACTCCCAGCTCATCGCGGCCGCGCGCGCCCGGCTCCGAGGGGGGAAAAACTGACCGCGTCGTAGCCGCCGAGCAGCGCGCAGCACTCAGCGCGGCCACCTCCCCCAAGGCCGGAGAGCCTCCCGGCCCCGGCTCCGCCCAGATGGTGGGCAGGCGGGAGGGGCGGCCCGGGCGCGCCTAGTTTCGCACCGCCCCCCTCAACCCCGCCCTCCACCACCCGGCGGCTGGAGCCGCGCCCTGGGCTGCGCGGAGGATGTTGGGAATCCCCGCACGCCGCGCTCAGTGTTCAGAACCCCGCAACTGCTGCACTCGCTTCGCTTGCGTCTGCGCCTACTGAAGGGTTGCTGTAGGGACAGAAGGCATGGAGGACTTTAAGATTCGCGGGACTGCTGTTAGTACAGTAGCCACAAGGTTTGTCACATCACGAACAGTTCTTTTAACAGTTGTTTTGAGGGCATATAGTTTCAAAGCTCGGGTTGTGTCAAAAGGAAGAGCACAGATATTCCGACCTATGATCGCGTTCTTTCCTTCTTTAAATGAAGGGAATAAACTATCAATTTTCCACCCACGCCATGCTCTCACCCACACCCACACCCAGTGAACCCCGACTGAGTTAGCACCTTGTTTTAGATTTGGAAAGCAGTTGCAAAAGACACTTGCCTGGTTCCTGGACGGGAAAGTGCAGTTTCAGTCCAGATGGTCCATGAGTACCAGCTTGAGGATCAGGATTGGAGAACTGAGCCCAGCTGGTGCGCCCTCAGCAACCTGAGTAAATTATTTATCTTTAGGTACCCACAAAGAATAGGGAGGTTTAAATAAGAAGATGCCTGTGAAGGGCACAGTAGCTCATACACAGTAATTATATTCATTCTTTTATAATTATGAGAATTGTCATTTTTAATTGTTATTTATTGTTTCCTTTATAATGATCACTTCTTAGAGCCCAACCTGAAAGACAGGGACTTTGTTCATAAACTTCTATATTCTGGGCCTATAGAATTACCCTTGCACGGAGAGCAGTAAGACTGTTTCAGTTGTGATGCATCAGGTACTGTTGTGATATGGGTCTGGTTCTCCAAGGAGGACCTACACTAGCTAAACTTTGATTTTGACCGATTGTTTACCTCAATTGCAACTTGGTATAATACTGCTCAAGAGTTGCCCTCTTTGGTTTGTGACCTTTGCAATAGGGGTTTTCTTTTTCTGATGATAAATGACTTTTAAACTATGGTGCTTAAAGATACCACACTGAGTCTCATTCCATTGATAAAATTCCAAGAGTTTCCTCTGAGCCTGTTTCTGTAAAATTTGAGGATTGAATTAGATTTAGTGTCCCAAGACAGACCATACCATGGATGTGTACCTGGCTTCTCCATCAGAAACTCCAGCTCTGGGGAGGGTAAAAGGGGAACAGAGCTGTTTTTATGGAGAACTGGGACTAATACACAAACTATAATAAAACCACAGGGTCATTTCTCTTCACTAGCGATTCTTGCACTGGAAAATGAAAACACTACAAATTACAACATCATGAATTTCCTTTTACCTGAATAGAAGCACACTTTATTTTGGAATTTAATTATATGTTTAAAGAATCAGTCACTATGATCAGAAAAACAACTGTTATAGCAAATATCTTTGCAGTGCCTAATTGTCCTCATTTGTTCTATTCACTAGTGAGAAAAAGCCAGCCTCAGAATCTGCTCCCTTTGGTGAAGATACTCAGCAAGTTCTTGTCACAGTAGCATCCGTCAGGATTGCCTCTTCAAAACTGGATCCAAAGTGTGCAAAGCAAAGAAAAGATGAATAAATGAAGGGATTCCCCAGAGGCCCATGGGGCACAATAGGCAGAACAGTGGAGCCCCGGCCTCTCCTGGATTCGTCCGTTCAGGAATGGACAGAATATCAACCATTTATAAAAGTCCAAACGTTTTAAAAAGTGGATTCAAATATAAGCTACATTATTTCCAGTATGAATAGAGAAACTTAAACAACTGCCAGAGTCAAGGAGGGAAACACTCCATTCAGCCCCTTCTTCATTCCCATTTGGAAAGAGCATCGGCTGCTCCCTCTACTCACGTCTCTGTATCTTTTCATGAAGCCAGGACGGTGCTGAAGTCAAGTGGCCGTCACACAAGTCCCCACAAGTCAAGGCAATGGTCCCTCGAGACAGGGTCCTTTCACAATTAGAGAAAAAGACTAACACCATATGCTCCATTTCAACACCTTACAATGTGCTTCTGACAGCACACAAACTTACTCTTAGCTGACTATCTGTTTTGGCAAAACAAATCTTAGTTCGGTGCTAAACATCCTTGTTCCCAAGCCATGATTTACCACCCAAAGTAAACGACACAATAAAAACAGAATACAATCAAAGCACAAATTTGTCGATACAATTGCACAAATTTGTCTATATAATTGCACAAAATGTCGATGCTATTCTTGATTCATTTCCACTAGAAATGAGCTTCAGAACATTTCATTGCTTCCTTCTAAACACCTATGTGTGTTAAAAATTAAGAATTTAAAAATGAAGGTTTTTGATCCACAAGCCTCTTAGGGACCCAGTTAAAGTGCATAGAAATTAGGTCATGGCTGAGAACAATGGAGAGTCTAATGGGGAACATTCTAGGCATTGTTGCAATACAACTTCCATCCTCTATAATACCTGGTATATATAACATACAAGGTATGTTCTGATGTCAAAGGCTGTTCCTTGGCATAAGCCAAATATAACTTTAAAACACTGATGAAAGTGAGACATCAGCTCCCCTCCTCATCATTTTATTTTCCAGTCTGCATACCAAGCTTCCCCTTTCTTTTGTCTTGAAATGCATTGAAGAATATTACTTGCAATAATTAAGTTTCCTTAACAGCTCTACCTTCTCCCTTTGCAATCCTATTGCAAACCTCCTCCCCAGCTCCCCACTCCCATCCTTCTCCAGAAAGATGTTTGTGGCTCTCTGGAGCCATAATCACCTCTTCCCTAGTCTTATCTCTTTTATAATTACTTCTGATGGGAACTATATCTGATATCTCTAATTATTTTCAGGGTTAATATATTATTACCCCAATGAAACTTTAAGCTCCTTGAAATCAAGTAGCAAAGCTAATGCTTCTTTTGAAGAGTCTGCCGTACTTAGCTTAGTGTTAATACAACAAACGATAAGCCCACATTGAATTGCATTTTCCTTTCCTTGAAAGTTAAACCTCCTTGAAGATTTTATTTATTTATTTGAGAGAGGGGGAGAGAGAGAGAGAGCACCAACAGGAGGGGAGTGTAGAGGGAAAAGCAGACTCCTCACTTAGCAGAGAGCCCGATGCAGGACTCGATCCCAGGACCCTGAGATCATGACCTGAGTCAAGGCAGATGCTTCACCAACTGAGCCACCCAGGTGCCCCCTAAAGTTCTTAAGTTGATAGAAAAAGAGTTACTAGATTTTAACAAATCAATCTTCCCTGAGTGTCATTAAAATGCTTTGAATAAAGTCCCAGCCAAGGCCTTTTGTATAATTGGTACCCTTAGTTTTAAATTTCAGCTGTGATAGAATGGTACCCCCTTCTCTCCTTTTGGTAATGGTCACTTTTGATGGTATGGGCTCAGGCCTACTCAGGGTAGATCAGCCAGAATGGAAGGCAGTCATGTGTAAGAAAACTCACTTTCCATAATAGAAGCACATATGAAAATAACTTTAAAAATCCAGAGTGTCTATTATCGGCAGTCTCTGGAGAAAAAAACAAAAAGCCCCAGTGAGTAGAAACAGGGACTGAGGAAGTCAGGGAGAAGAATATTCTTCCTGTAGAAGAGGAAGGCTTTTGTGGTATTTGATTGGGGATATTGTCACAACCCCTAGATACTTTTGGAAATTTGTTGGATATGCTTTGTTTTCATAGTGCCAGGTGGCCATGGGCCAGGAGTGCTAAAGATCTGGGCCGCATATAAAGGCATACCCAACAGAGAATTGTCTGGCCCTAAAAGCCCACAGTGCCCCTGTACAGAAATCTTACAGCCTGGCCATGGTGGACACGTGCTCCCTGATCTATTCCCTGCTTAAGGGAAGCATTCCTGCATTCCTCTGCATCTGTTTGCCTGTACTCATTATAGAAGCATTCGGGTTATTGTTTACTCTTCTCATATTCTGCAGGCAGACGTGGTCTTACTTGGATAGTCTTGTGTCTCATATAAATTATTTCCTTATCTTAAGTAATCTTACGGGATTCCTCACTAGAAAAATTTCACTGCCCTGTTGGCCACATGTAGTTCTGCATATCATTGAATTGATCGTCTCTTTACATAGCTGATTTCCACATTATCTTGAGTCTCTTAGACATGAACAATTCACTATATGATTCTCTTCTCTCTCCCTCTCTCTGTCTCTCTCCTTATCTGTCTCTGTCCCTGCCCCCTTCTCTCTCATTAAATGCCTCATTTCAGACTCCCCCTTACATATAGCAATAAACGTTCTAGTCAGTGGTGGTGGTTACTCAAATCTACACACGTGATAAAATTGCATAGAACTACACACACATGCACACACACACAGATACATATATGTGAAACTGGTGAAATTTTAATAAGGTCTATGAATTGTGCTAATAACAATTTCCTGGTTCTGTTATTGTTCTAAAGTTATGTAAAATGTTACCAGTGGGGAAAATGGAGTGAAGAGTACACAGAACCTCTTTGTACCGTTCTTGCAACTTCCTGTAAATCTGTAATTATTTTAAAGTAGGAATAATTTGGTATTATAAGATGGTTGCACTACCTGTGAAGCAAAATAGTGTTATTTGAAAGCAAACTTGGATTAATTATAAATGTATATTGCAAATTCTAGAGCAACCACTTAAAAAAGTTTTTTAAAAAGTAGTGACTATGGACTCTGAGAAACAAACTGAGGGTTCTAGAGGGGAGGGGGGTTGGGGGATGGGTTAGCCTGGTGCTGGGTATTAAAGAGGGCACGTATTGAATGGAGCACTGGGTGTTATATGCAAACAATGAATCATGGAGCACTACATCAAAAACTAATGATGTAATGTATGGTGACTAACATAACATAATTTTTAAAAAAAGTATAATTGAGGGCACCTGTGTGGCTCAGTTGGTTGAGCGTCTGCTTCAACTCAGGTCATGAT